TTCTAGCGAACTATCAAGCTAAGGAAGTAGAGTGGCACCGGTTTTTCTATTGAGATAACTATTCGTATGCGTTATCTGATCCGCTTATTGATTTCTTAAGATGGGCAAAATCTAGCCCGATACAAGCTTTGCAGCTTCGGCATGTTAAAGGTATTTTTTAATTTTTTTTATTAATTATCAAGTATTAGAAAAATATAATTAAATGCATGACATGAGCTTGCTACGCTATAAAAAGACATCAGGAATTCTGCCCTAAAGTTCAACCCTAATGGTCTCAAAGGGCTTTGTCAGTCTTCCTTCTGCACCTAAAATGCAGGAATTGTCAGGCTGAACAATCTGAATCTGTCTATAAGTGCGACAGGGTAGATCACAGTTAATTATCACCCTCTAATTAATACGAAAGGAGCTGACTTCTTTTTCGCAACTTGGTGGTGTTGTAAGAGTGACTTAGTTGTACGCGCCTTGTCCAACGTCCTCTGCTATGGTAGTTAATATAATTCCCAGCGTCAGACCATGGACTTGGTACATTCTCAGACGTTTTTCCGGCTTCGTAGTTGGCATCATCAGTGAATCGTGCCATTCACAGCACCAAGCTACAACTCGTCAAAGAGGCAAATGAAGTCAATCTCCCTTGACCAACTTTCTGCAGAAATGGTGGGCTGTCACTCCTCTTTCTGTCCTGGTCCATCTATCTACTCCTTAACCTCTTGTCACACTCCTGCCCTATTACAACTTCTAACTTGTTTATATTGCATACCCCAAGAGATGTGCCCTTATTGACGAATTTTGTGTGACTGCATCACACCTGTTTACTTTGTCCCTCTGTCCCTTCTCGAATTGCTTATCCCCCTTGGGCCTCCTATCTGGATCTCCCTTATGGGCCCGTAGATCCGTTCCTTATCTATTTGGTTGACTGACTTCACTCGGTTCCAGTCTCAGTGTACGCTTTATTCCAGGCCCTATTTCTCAAGGCTTTAAAAACCACATCATTTTGGTCTTCATATCTTTGATTATTTTAAATAATATGGGTTGCCGAACCACAGTCTCTTCTACTGCCTCTGATGAAACATCGGGGGGGGGAGCCTTTGCGCATCTATTGTCGTAGTAACGTAAGTAGTATAAATATTAACTATCAGCTACCATTAGGCTACTTATATTGAAGGTAATTATACTATTCCTTCCGGCTTATACTAAATTCATTGTAAGGATAAATCAGACAAACTCTTTAAAAATGTATTGGTGAAGATTAAAATAATAACTTAAGCACTATGACGAGAAACCTCTAATTTAACATGTACAAGTGCATCACATCACGATTTCTAATAAGTTAATTTTACGGCGGAAGTAGTATGTCCTTTAGAGATATAGGCGATGACTTACCGTTGAGTATTTTATGGCCTTCCTCTTTTTTAAATTCTCTTTTTCATGAAGGATTCTGAATATTTTGTAATAATTGTCTATGCCTAAAATCAACTGCATTCTAATAAATTTAACTTTACGATCAATAAGACGGAGGTTGCCAGTGTGAAAGGCAAGGTGAACGAATTGGTAGCACAAGCAGTTCGAATTGCTGACGAACAAGGAGAGAACAAGTCTTCGAATAGTTGGCTGAGGCAGCGTCGCGATGACCTCGAAAGGAACTGGCGCCGCCTCGAATTGGAGGCGGTCACCATTGCCCCGAGCATAGCCAAGGCCAAGGAGCTACTGTCCTACCAGGCGTCGGTGAGTCTTGTTTAGCTATCCTCACTTTGCCCCAATGTAATCTGGCACCGAAGTTTCGTGGCGTTATAGGAAAATTTCGTCTTTATCTATAAATTTGCCTATAGTTTGATAATCTTCAAGTTTTATTAATTTATTATGCACTCCACAGCATTTTAATGTTAATTGAACTTTTTCTATTATTTGTTCTGGAATGAAACGCATATATTTCATCACTGGATTGAACTTCTGCAAAATGTCATAACACTTTGTTGGCATACCTTTACTTTCGTTTAACGAGACTCGTGTAAGGGATTCTTTACTTGGTCTTACTAGAAGCCGAAAGAAAGCACTGGAGTTGTAACAGTAAATTTGTGTGGATAAGATTTTGGTGCACCATCCCACAACTCTAAAGGACACATGCTAATATTGTTGGAGATACTTTAATTTCATATAAGAGTGCATGAAGCAGAGATTCGAAGTTCGATCACACCAGAAAAGCACGAGTAAATCCCAGTGTACTGCAGCCGCTTGGCTTTTATACGACATTGATGCTGAAACAGTCCATGAGACCTCCTCCCTCGTTTCAGGTGAAAATGGGCTAAGCTCTTCTACATCAAATGGTGGACATCATCAGAGCTGGAATTCATTATTGTAAAAGTCAAACGTTAACACTGGGGCAAGAAGATTATCCGTCTCTATCTTACCTCTTGCATACACTCAATTAAACAAAATAAAATAAACAACCTAGATAGAAATAGAATGGCTTGGCTAATTATCCTTCATACTAGTCCTGCTACTTTTACCAGTATATATATACGTGTGTGTGTGTGTGTGTTAAACTCTATACGAAATACCGGTCCTAAATCAGAGTGATCAAAAGGCTAATGTCAGGCTCTGGTCATCAAGACTTAGGGACCCAAGAGAGAGCCCTGACTGAGAAGGTGTAAGTCCGTGATCAGGTATAGTTGAGATAATGAAATTTAAGCTTGTAAGCAAGTAAGTTGGGTTACGAAGACACTTGTCCTTACCTCTCAGGCTAGGGTCATTAATGTTTAACCACCCAAGAAAATTCATGAATGAGGCTGCTTAATTTTGTCCGTCTGGTTTGGTTTATGAGCTTAATCTAACATGTTGGGCGAGTGCGAATGAAGTTAGAGACAGTACTTAGCAGACAAGTTGAGTTGACTTATTTTGGATGGTGGCTTAACACCTTTTCTCTCTTTCAATCTATTAATCAAGCACAGGTAATTTTTATTCAAATTTCTACCACCGTTCCTCACATTCAACGTAATCCCTAATCTATAAATTTAATTAGCCTCTTTTATCTTTCTTTTAACAGCAGACGTACAATAATCAGTAAACCTCTGCGTACGAGGCATAACAGAAGAAATTTTAAGAGTTTCTGTAAACACTGTTTTAGTATCCCACACTCCCTCAACAATTCGCCTATGTTCTTAGAAAGAAGGCATCACGGAGAAATTAGGTCATGAGAAATTGTCTTAGCCTGTTTAGCTTTGACTTAATGATCTCCGTCTGAAAATTTATTCCTCAGTAAGGATAATTAGTATCCAGGACTAAATTTGTTAATCTTTCCAACTCTAGCCAAATGATTGATATCTGCTAGACTCATACTCCTATTAAGGATTTACTTCAAAATTCCAACCTTAATTACATTTGTTGGAAAAAAAATTTTTTTAAATACCAGCATATGTTGGCCCTCTATAAACATATCTTACTAACCTACCCTCTCCTCTAATGATGAGAACACTGAGAAAGGGTAAGGACTTATTCTCTACCATTTCCATTGAGAACCTATTCTTCCTTTCACGTTGGCTAATTAAAAGTAGGAACCTATCTAACCTTTCCTTGCCATGAGGGCAGATGACAAAATAATCATCAATATATCTAAGCAGCAATTTGTGGATTACTATTGCCTCTTCCGGGATGTGTTCCTCAAGTCTTGCCATATAATTGTTTGCCAAGATAGGACCTAAGCACAATCCTATCCCAATTGTCTGTATTTGTTCATAAAACTTACCATCAGAGGTGAAACAGGTGCTAGTCATGCAAAGGTTAGGAAGTCTAACTATGGACTCTTCGCTCAACCTTATTCCTTGTGCGATCTCTGGATGCTTCTCTAGAGTGTGTACTGGATCCTGAATAGCTCCTTAAATAGGAATGTTTGTGTACATTTCCGCAACATCAAAAATTATTAGCCGATCTTCTTCTGAAGTTATTTTCTGATCAATTGATTTAATTATTTCATAAGAATTTTAACTGGAATATAGCTCAACATTGGCAGTTTTTCTTAGTTGTATGCATAAAAACATGAGATTTTATATATTACGTTTCTTTTATTATTTACAATTAATCTTAGAAAGACACTGTCCTTGTGAACTTTAGGGAGGCTGTAAGCCGTGGCCGCCCTTGCATCTCTCTGGATAGTTAATTCATTTTCCACTTCACCATTTCCCCATTACTTACCAATCCCTAAAGGGCATCCTTTAGCCTAGTCTTGAGACTTTCCGTTGGATCTCCCAATAAAGGCTCATACTTTTCAATGTCATTTCAATAAACTAGCATTTTTTTCTACATAACTTGACCTACCTATGGCTACCACTGCTATATCCTTGTCGGCTTTTATAACGATTAGATTATTACCACATAGATATCTAGAAGCCCTACTAAGAGGACAGGCTTTCTATGGTGGAATTATCTGATTTAAAGAGGTCTCGTGGACTGTGTCAGCCAGAACATTGTATACAAGTTAAACGGCTGCAGCACAACTAGATTCAGCCATTTGCTTCCGGGGAGATCGACCTACGAATATCTTCCTCATTCACTTTCTTACCAAATGAAAGTTTTCCTAACAATGTTATCTCAGGAGATTCTTCGAAATCCAGTTACTCCTAGTACCCACATGCTGATATTTTGTCTGTCATGTCAGGACAGATATCATCAAAACAGTAAACCATGCCTTAAAAAATGCATTATGCTCTAATACAAGGGAGGTGACTATCTGCAATCCTACCTGACAGCCCATTTATTCAGATATCTTATAACTCCTAAGGCCGCTACGAATGACGCTACAAATCGATGCCGATGATAGTGATTGGTTACATCCTCACCTAAATCACTTATATTTTTGATCCCCAATGTTGATTCTTGTAATTGCATCCTATTTAATACATTTTTAGTGAACACAGTGCTAATTAGTCGTAGGTGTGAAAGTCCTTTATTTTCACCTGATTTCATCATATAAATTCATTTTCGAGCCATTTAGTATAATTTTGGCTCACATAAGAAATATACTAGCTTAAGGTGATGAAACAGGATAGAGAACTTTCTTACAATAATATGGGTGGAACTCACAATGCCATTCAATTTTCCTTAGCTTTGCTTCTAAAAAGGTATCCTTATCCAAGTTGGATTTCAATTTGGGTCTTGCTTGGGTCCCATCAACACCCCCAACATGAATATGATCCGGTTGGTGTAGTACAAAATTTCTACATACTACCATTACGCCACCTATACACGGGCACAAGTGGACTACAGGGCAAGTATGAGCCCCAAGGCAAGCCAGAACTAACACAAAACACCTTTTTTTAGTAGAATATGGTCGATTGTAATGACAAATGCAAGTTTACTTCATCAAAAATTGCACAGAAAAATAGGATATGAGAAAGGCTTCATATGAAAGCTAAGTTCGCCCTGAAACCCACAGACATCCTTAACAGTAATGTCTTGGTGCCATTTCGAAAATAAACGCCACAATACCCTTTTTAGATTCCCGTTGGGGGGGTGGTGTTAATGAGACACATTCGAGGTGGAAACTGCAGTCCAGTCAGGAAAAAAATTATTTTTGGGTAACTAGGCTAAATTAAACTCAATGGAATTGTGAGATCTAATACCATCTTTTTTGTGAACATTTACTATCAGTAACCTTTATCG